CGAGGTGCACCAAAATCAGTATGATCGTTCATTATCCACCGCTTGAACAGAAAACCATGATAAGTGGCCAATAGCCTCCACAGCGCCCCCTAGAATATTTTAAAACTTCAGCCCCAAGCCATTTTTTAACAGATCATTTTGAAACTCGGGGAACATCTGTATCGTCTCAGGACCTATGAAAAAGTCTCTTGGAGCCCTGGCCCAAGTGACAGGGTTTTACCTGTACCTTAAATAAAACACAAGGGAGACAAGAATGAGATTTCTAGAACGTATCTTTGCAAAGAGGGACAGCGTTCGACCGAAGTCAGAACAAAGTCCAACTTGTTTCAGCGTGCGTTCCTTTTTTATTCAGGCAAGTAGGAATGGCAAACATTCAGGCAAGTAGGGATGGTAAACAAGAAACACAAGATCTGGTGGTTTTCAGGTAAACATAGACGTGGCAGTTTCTATCAAAACAGGAACTGTGAGTTTCCAACAAGTCAGTAGAGAAAGATTTCACAGCATTATAGAACAGTTTAAATGAGTATAAGTTTAAACAATCAATAGATAGAGTAAAATACTCTAACATATTCCCTCCTGTTTATCGTTTAAACTGAATAAAACAAAGAGCTATTTGAGTTCTAAGTTCAGCAGGAGATGCTTATGTAAATGACGCGGAAAAAACTCCCAGGGCTGATGTTTAAGAATGTGGAAGGAAAACGCGTCATCGCTCCAGGCCCCTCTGGCAGCGGCCGATTCAGGCTTACTCAGCAGCTTCCTGAAGTGAACTCAACATAGTTAAATCTAAAGTCAAATAAAACAAAACAAAATATCAATTGAAAACAGAACGACGTGGGCTCTTTATGAGCAATAGTTCTTTATGAATTGCAAAAATGATTGAAACGTTTTTGGGTTGTCTAGATCATGGCCAGGTCAAGCTAAAAACATCATCTTAATGCCTGTATTCAAGAAATACTTTAAGCATTAGAATCATTATGCATTTTGTTTTGGCTGGTTAACATATTCAGGACGTCATTCTGGGTGCAGGAGATTGTAGGCGTGTTCAGGAAAGTACTCATTCTGCACACGAGCCTGGTTGAGATTAATCAGCACGCCAATGAAACTTTTCATCATCATGTTCTTCAAACATGGCACTATGCAAGAGAAGAAAAGACAAAACAGGATTAAAACATGGAATGGTTTCAGTCAGCATTTCGACTTCCAATGCTTCTGGCAGAGGTCCTTGACAAAAAACCCAGTCTCCTAGGTGGGGTCAATTCTTTCAGCCTGCTTGATACACCTGGAAGTCATCCCTGTGGTGTTCAACTGCAGAGCTGGATAGAATCAGAAAATAGCACAAAGAGACAAACAACAGAATAGGACCCTGCCCACATATGTTAGTTCCCATACCAGTTTAGCAGAGATGAATCACCACAACAATAGAAAACCTTCCCAGAAAACAACATGCCAGACCCAGTCTGGTTTCAATTCTCCAAGCCAGGTGACAGGGGAGCCCCCAGGGTCCTGAGTCCAACAGGTTCCTCAAGATTCCTGGCACAAACAGTTGGTTAGTATAATGAATTTATTTTTCTTACCTCATTCAGTCTGTAGAGAAAAATCTTATTAAACGCTTGCGCAGAAAATATATATTTTCTTTGGTTACATCATTGTCAAAACAGTGCAATACAACATTAAACATTTAATTCCACTGAATAATGAAAGAAAGTCAAAATCAGTTAATTTTATTCAGGTCGGCCATTGCTTCGTCGCAGATCTGTTCAGGTGAAACAAAAACTAGGAAAAAAGGTTTACAATACGACTGCAAAACAGTAGTAAAAATGTGGTTAGCATACTCTATACATAAAAACCCAATTTCATTTCTTTTCAGTCCAGTCAAGTCAAGTCAAGTCAAGTAAAGTCAAATCAAATCAAATGTATTTAGGAACACAGATCCACCTTTGACCAAATCCACTTCTAGGGTCTGTGTTTGGATTCGGCTGGGTCTAGGGGCGTCCCCCATAGACCTTGAAGCTTCAGGAACCTTCCTGTACACATTCCAAAGGAAGATAAACAGGTACAGCTGTTAGTAGGAGCTCTTTAGTCATTAAAACATGCGGAAAATGTCTATATCCAGGTGAGCTTAGAATCTACACTTATAAAAATATTTTAGTTCTAAAACTACATTTCAAGCAGTTTACTTGTTTTTGTAAGAGGCTGTGTCATAGGCTTCTGATTGGCTGTATACGTGTATATATATTAAAAGTTATTTCTGCAAAAGTAAAAACTTAAGAATTCCTAGTTAGAAAATCTAAAAAAAATTAAATCTTGTCCTCTGTCATTCACTAGTGTCCTGAATGGTTGGGTGAGGCTTGTATAATTAGGAATGTGGTGTTTGCTAAAACCCTGTAAGACCTAAACATGACAGCAGGTCTTTAACATTATTTGGCTTTGGGTGATGTAAGATTGTTGTCCTGTGTACTGTGACATCCCTGATCCTAAATGCTGACAATCAAACGTCCCAGAAACACAACAGTGCCTGACAACCTGCATCTCGTGCTCACCTTGAACCTTTTCTCAGACAGACTCAACAACACAGGCCACTGGAGTGTGTTTCTGTTTACTGTGTGACAAATGTAAAACCTAAGATATTATTTTTGTATAACTAATGATCTAGTCATTGTATGAACTGTTTTAAGAACAGTTTTCAGACCTCCCCCTTTGAAACATCTATTATTTTGCTACAATTTATCAACTCACATATCAACCCTAAAATCCTTGTCAGTCTTACTGTATAGTTTCAGAATGATTCAAACTAGAACTCTATTAAATAGTGTAGTTGTAAGACTATGAAAACCAGCACATTCAACCTAGACTTTAAAACCATAAAGCTAAATGACTTAGCATAGCTCCAATATCATTTGCAGCTGAAACAATTAATAACTAAATAAACTTCATCCCTTGTGGCAAACCAGACCTGCTGAAATGATCTCACTCATGGGGGAAAGCAGACAGATATTTAATTAAAAAAAAAAAAAACATTTAGCAAACTCAATCCAAGTCAGGTTTCTGGTACAGGTCTCTCTTGCAAATGAGTCCTCGTGACTCAATGAGACTAACCTGTAAAAACAAAAGTTAAATGAATGAAAAAGTAAATATTTTTTCTCTGGGGGCCAGCATTATTCATTTTTATATAAGGATATGAGGTATCCAAATTTCCATGTTCCAAATACTTTTTTATCTATGCGTAATTGGAAAAGGCAGTTTATCCAGCAACCCACATCAGTATTATTAAAAATCAGCCTGATCTGTTATCTGTGTCATGCTGTTATATATATATCTGAAGAATGGGTCTATGTGAGTGTTTTATTCATGTCACAGCCAATGCAGCACTGATCATGAAAAACTAGTTATTGCCTCACCATCACAGACCACATGCAGAGCTGACACTTTACACAGACTGCAGTTTTTGTTAGTGACTTTTGACAGCTTGACCACCGCTGTTACTTTGCTGTTAGTCTCTTCCCGTTGGATATACTGTATGTTCAAGAGTTCAAGAGTTCATCTGTGTGCAGC